GTCCTTGTTGGCGCAAAAGCAGGACTTCTTCGTGCAAGTGCATTGCTTCATGCAAGCGCACGCCATTGTTCCAGCGCTCGCCGCTGACCCTCGATAGGGGACGCTGGCCAGCGGGGTCCAACCTGTCTGCTGCTTCGTCGATGATCCCAGAGGAGGCTGTGCCCAGTCCGATCCTCCATCGTGACAGTACCTGTGCGTGAGAGGTCAGAGGTGCAGGAGAGAGGGCGGGTAAACGCACTTGTTCCCAGCATGATCCTTACACCACAGCTGCGCTGACCCGTAGGCGTAGCAGAATCCATGGTCATCAAGAAATCTGCACTCACGTCAGGAAGGCAACACGGGAGGAATAAGCAAGAGCTGGAGAAGGGAGAGACGGAGGGAGGAGGGAGGCACTGACCGGCATCCGGGCTCATCGTTGTTGTGCTCCAAACTTTGCACACAGTCTTGCGCCATGCACAATGACATGTACTCCTCCTGCTTGCCTTGGGCCCAGTAGTCTGCCTGATCCCTCCAGTCCGCACATCTGATATTGAGAAGAGACTTGCACGTGCCATCGGACTGCATTTCGCAAAGAGAGGAGGGTGGCGGCTCCTGCGCAGGCGGAGGGGGAGGGGGAGGGGAGGATGCAGGTTTGTTCTTGTCCCCTTCCTTGTTGTTTTCTTTCTCCTTCTCGTCTTCTTTCTCCTTCTCCTTCTCCTTCTCCTTCTCCCTCTCGTCTTCTTTCTCCTTCTCGTCTTCTTTCTCCTTCTCCTTCTCCTTCTCGTCTTCTTTCTCCTTCTCCTTCTCCTTCTCCTTCTCCTTCTCCTTCTCCGTCTTCTTTCTCCTTCTCCTTCTCCTTCTCCTTCTCCTTCTCCTTCTCCTTCTCCTTCTCCTTCTCCTTCTCCTCGTTGTCATTGTCAATGTCTGCAATGCAGGTTTTGCCGTCTGGGAGGAAGCACGTAACGTCTGCCCACAGGCATCAGAGTCGATAAGTCAGATCCCAAGAAAGAGCAGCATACCTTCCAGCGACGTCAGCTTTGAGCCTTCATCCCCCCCCTTCAAGTCCTTCCCGCATACGGAACAGTCGCACTCCACGTTGTTGGGGTTCTTCTCAGTCTGGTCCTTGTCAGAGGACAGCCCAGATAAGGTAGTCAATCCAAGCAATCGTCTCTTTGCATGGCCGTTCTCTTCACTCTTGCCGTTCGGCTTGCAGTACGTCGAACAACACTTCTGTTGTTCCCCTGCCAACGCCAAGGCTCGTCAGTGTGTTGCAGACATCGATCGTCAGGTTTGAGATGGCAGCTAGAGCATGAGCAAGCAATATCGCCAAGTGGATGTCTACCTGTCAGGCTCTGCAGCAGCACCGCCGGCCCTTCGAAGAGAACGGAGCCGGAAGGACTCGAGGTAGATAAGCTGGACTGAAGCCAAGAGGGAAGTTGAACCGCATCCTTGGATACGAAACCGACCTCAGCGGAGCCTTCATGGGTCCTTCCCTCCCTCATCAGGGCTGAAAGCGCCATGGCAGCCGCCAGCGCCGCGAACAGCGCCGCTGCTGCATGGCGCCAGCGAGCCATGGCGCTCGTCGGCGTTGGGGGAGTAAGGAGGGGGTGGGGGTATTCTTCATGGAGGTACATGACCATTTCCACGGGTACTGAATTATAGGATGGTGGAATAATGACTAAGTTGGGGTACTTTAAAGGAGAAAAGAAGGGGTGTATCAAAACTTTATGGGGTAGGGGTAACACAATATGTGGTACCTGTGTATCAATATGTTGCCACGGGGGTGGTGGCTCCTATTTCAGGAACTAAAACTCTTTTTTAAAAATAGTGACTACCCTCACCCCCACCCACCTGATGTCTGTACATTCAAGGGGTGGGGGTGTAGCATTTTCCGCAGATGATGGGAATCGGAACTGTGAGCAGTCCGAACCGGGGACCCACGGATATAGAGGGGTGGTAAACGCCCTGGTGTATTATAATGCTTCTTGAGGTGGGTACTTTTCATAGGAGAGTAGGGGTATAAAGTTGAACGGGAGTATATCCGGGGGGGGTACCATATAGGGGTGGGTGGGTGGAGGGGGTGGGCTTTCCGGGAGTCACCCAACCACTTCGATTTGGCACTTGCTGGTCAATTTTCGCTGAGTCAACTTTAGAAAGTCAACTCAGTGACTGCCGCGCCGGGGCCCCATTGTTGACCGTACGGGCCCCCGGATCGGACTCCCCGGGGCCTCCGAGGCTCGCCGCCGCGGCGAGCCGCCCGTCTCGGACTCAGTTTTCAAGTTTCAACTTTCAGTCAGTACTCAAAGTTACTAAGTCAAAA